ACGATTCGTCCTAGCATATGGAATAAGAAATGCTACTTTCTGATTATTTTATTATGTAGTGGTTTTTTGTTCTAGTTTCTTTGTTTTCTTGAATTGGGATCCCAGATAGAAGCTGCAGATTGGTCTAACCAAGGTTTAATATCATTTTATTTTTATGTTCTTGTTTGATTTGTTTTAAAAAAAATTATTTTGTTTATTTGTATTTTGAAATAATTTCAGTGAACGAGCCCAGCCTGTAAAACGTCGCCCCAGAAACGGAATAAACTCTGAATAGAGAAAACATTTGATTCCCATTTCGATCACTGGGCAATACGTATTAGAACGTCAAGGCGTCATTATTTCCAATACAAACAATGTTTCTCAAACTTTGAATACATTTCAACCTGAAGTTTTAAAGGTCTTTCTAATAAAACAGCACACAAGTAAATGACAGGTCCAATATTAAACTTAAAAACCACATCGGATTGATTTATTAAACGTACATTCTGATTGGACTGTCTACTACAGTCAATATAAATGGTGCAGTCTTAAAACAGAGTTCAAATCAGCATGTCAGCTAGTACAAACAAAATGAACCACGTGACTGGCTTGTCCTATTGCAACACAAACAAATCGGGTACGTACTAAGTGATGGCTAGATAGACGCGGTGATTAAAGATAATGAGAAGTGCACACCTTGTGCTGTGAAGACGGTCAAAGAATACGCAGAAATTAACGCAAATATAGCCTTTGAAAAAAATTCCTGGTTTTGAAGTTCCCAGTGCCCTCCCCTGCCAGGTTAATAGCTTGATCAGGTGAAGGCAGCCAGATCTGGCTACATTTCAATGGCCGCGGCTCCTGCTTGTGTTAGAGCATTACAAAAATGTTTCACCATAAAAAGAGAAGCGTCTAAATTGTACGCCGGCAAATTGTGCGCTGAATGAAAGCTACAAGTAGTTAACTCTTTATGTTGGATCGCCGCTTTCAGACCTTTTCTTTATGTCCCTTGCCAACCGGCACCATACATACACTTTTTTTTTAAACCATTGTCAACCTTCAAAAGTTATGTTTTTAATTGGACTAGCTCTGCAGGCACTCTACCATAGCTTTTTTTTTTTCCTTCTTAGGTTCAAATAATGTGGAAAGTTGATATGGCTCCTAATAGGAAAATAATTGTTCTCTCTATGATCCTGTCTCGTGTTCTGTCACTAGAAGAAAGAAAAGTAGCGGGGTAATTAGAGAGGTGACATTGGTGTAGAGATACGGCCGGGATCCAATCTTACTCGTCATTTGTACTTTTAGTGAACACCCCGAGTGCTAGCTGTAAATAGCACCCCTCACCCCCTTTTTAGTGCTAGCTGTAAATAGCACCCCTCACCCCCTTTTTAGTGCTAGCTTTAAATAGCACCCCTCACCCCCTTTTTAGTGCTAGCTGTAAATAGCACCCCTCACCCCCTTTTTAGTGCTAGCTGTATAAATAGCACCCCTCACCCCCTTTTTAGTGCTAGCTGTATAAATAGCACCCCTCACCCCCTTTTTAGTGCTAGCTGTAAATAGCAGCTCACCTACCCCCTTTTGTGAACTCTATTTTCTATTAAGAATCATCTTTATTTTAAATTCTCACGATCATAATAGAGTCAAAAATTGTACCAGACAGAGTAGCGGTACAGTACAGTATATAGCATAGAGCTGGCCAAGTCTTACGCTTTAACACTGAATGCGTGTGTGTAGCAGTTTCATTGTATCTGCTAGATGAGTTCTTTCCATTCCAGAGCATCTTATCAACTTCATCACTCTTCACTCATTTACACGAACATCAGCGCCGCCATGATACTTTCACTTTATCGTGAATACGTCATTTCCGCCGTAACACAGAATTCAACAGTTACACTCCAGGCACTGACTGAAATCCATTAGCACCTTAGCTCCACCAATCATACAGCAGTTTCACCATTAAGACAACAAAACAATCATGTCACATCATCTGTCATTTCAAACAATCATGTCACATCATCTCTGTCATTTTAAACAGTCATGTCACATCATCTCTGTCATTTCAAAAAATCGCTTTTCGATTTCACTTACACGTCCAGCTTTATAATATAGTTTTTATATAGCACTACATTCATTCTTATAGCACGCTATGGTCCAATCTCATTTGTGAACCGGTGGGTGGAGGGGGTATCTGAGAGAAGGTTTACCGTGCTGCCTTTAGGCGCCAGTAAACACAACTAACCTCGAGTCCCTTTCATAGGTAGCCATGCCAAGTTCTAGCGTACTTAGCCTGTTAACCATTAATACATTAAGTCAACCATAGATTCATTAACTTAACCATAAATACATTAACGTAACCATTAAGACATCAAATGAATCATAAATGCATAAACTTAACCATAAATACATTAACTTCATCACCATACATCCCATTATCGATATCCTGCCACCTTATAGTTTCACTATTCACGCATCATGTTCACCTTTAGAACATTAGTTTTATCACTATTGTTATACATGCTCCACTGTGAGAATCTCTTGGTGTTGAAGCCACACTATTAACAAAGTAGCTCCACTATTTACAGTTAGCTCCACTGGCATTCTTAAGTCTAGACATGAGTTGAGGAAAACGTGAATGTCCATAAAAAGTTGTACATTGCCAGTCTATAAGCACAATACTTCTATAAGGGGCCGCTATTGACTTTAATAGGCTAACCTTTCAAGGGGGAACAATCGTCTGCGCTAGACTTGGAGAGCCAGAGAATTGCTTCCAGAGTAGTAAAGATAGCATAGATAGCCGTGTGCTAGAAAAGAGGCTAAAAATGTAAGTTGAATGTGGACAATAACATGTCTGACATTGTTCCATTGCTGAGAGAGGCGGGAAGTAGAAGTGCCAAGAGTTGTCTGTCCCTAATGTTTGTCAAATACAAGTCGGCTTCTTGTTGTTTTTACAGACTACATTTGTTTGCATTCTAGGAGATATAGTAGCATTTGAATAGGAGGAGATATAGTAGCATTTGAATAGGAGGAGGTATAGTAGCATTTGAATAGGAGGAGATATAGTAGCATTTGAATAGGAGGAGATATAGTAGCATTTGAATAGGAGGAGATATAGTAGCATTTGAATAGGAGGAGATATAGTAGCATTTGAATAGGAGGAGATATAGTAGCATTTGAATAGGAGGAGATATAGTAGCATTTGAATAGGAGGAGATATAGTATCATTTGAATAGGAGGAGATATAGTAGCATTTGAATTGGAGGAGATATAGTAGCATTTGAATTGGAGGAGGTAAAGTATCATTTGAATTGGAGGAAGATATAGTATCATTTGAATAGGAGGAGATATAGTATCATTTGAATAGGAGGAGATATAGTAACATTTGAATAGGAGGAGATATAGTAGCATTTGAATTGGAGGAGATATAGTATCATTTGAATTGGAGGAAGATATAGTATCATTTGAATAGGAGGAGATATAGTAGCATTTGAATAGGAGGAGATATAGTATCATTTGAATTGGAGGAGATATAGTAACATTTGAATAGGAGGAGATATGCCTCCTCAAATGCTACTATATCTCCTCCTATTCAAATGCTACTATATCTCCTCCTATTCAAATGCTACTATATCTCCTCCTATTCAAATGCTACTATATCTCCTCCTATTCAAATGCTACTATATCTCCTCCTATTCAAATGCTACTATATCTCCTCCTATTCAAATGCTACTATATCTCCTCCTATTCAAATGCTACTATATCTCCTCCTATTCAGATGCTACTATATCTCCTCCTATTCAAATGCTACTATATCTCCTCCTATTCAAATGCTACTATATATCCTCCTATTCAAATGCTACTATATCTCCTCCTATTCAAATGCTACTATATCTCCTCCTATTCAAATGCTACTATATCTCCTCCTATTCAAATGTTACTATATCTCCTCCTATTCAAATGTTACTATATCTCCTCCTATTCAAATGCTACTATATATCCTCCTATTCAAATGCTACTATATCTCCTCCTATTCAAATGCTACTATATCTCCTCCTATTCAAATGCTACTATATCTCCTCCTATTCAAATGTTACTATATCTCCTCCTATTCAAATGTTACTATATCTCCTCCTATTCAAATGTTACTATATCTCCTCCTATTCAAATGATACTATATCTTCATCCTATTCAAATGATACTTTACCTCCTCCAATTCAAATGATACTATATCTCCTCCAATTCAAATGCTACTATATCTCCTCCTATTCCAATGTTACTATATCTCCTCCAATTCAAATGATACTATATCTCCTCCTATTCAAATGCTACTATATCTCCTCCTATTCAAATGCTACTATATCTCCTCCTATTCAAATGCTACTATATCTCCTCCTATTCAAATGCTACTATATCTCCTCCTATTCAAATGCTACTATATCTCCTCCTATTCAAATGCTACTATATCTCCTCCTATTCAAATGCTACTACATCTCCTCCTATAGTAGCATTTGAATAGGAGGAGATATAGTAACATTTGAATAGGAGGAGATATGCCTCCTCAAATGCTACTATATCTCCTCGTATTCAAATGCTACTATATCTCCTCCTATTCAAATGCTACTATATCTCCTCCTATTCAAATGCTACTATATCTCCTCCTATTCAAATGTTACTATATCTCCTCCTATTCAAATGTTACTATATCTCCTCCTATTCAAATGCTACTACATCTCCTCCTATTCAAATGATACTATATCTTCATCCTATTCAAATGATACTTTACCTCCTCCAATTCAAATGATACTATATCTCCTCCAATTCAAATGCTACTATATCTCCTCCTATTCCAATGTTACTATATCTCCTCCAATTCAAATGATACTATATCTCCTCCTATTCAAATGCTACTATATCTCCTCCTATTCAAATGCTACTATATCTCCTCCTATTCAAATGCTACTATATCTCCTCCTATTCAAATGCTACTATATCTCCTCCTATTCAAATGCTACTATATCTCCTCCTATTCAAATGCTACTATATCTCCTCCTATAGTAGCATTTGAATAGGAGGAGATATAGTAGCATTTGAATAGGAGGAGATATAGTAGCATTTGAATAGGAGGAGATATAGTAGCATTTGAATAGGAGGAGATATAGTAGCATTTGAATAGGAGGAGATATAGTAGCATTTGAATAGGAGGAGATATAGTAGCATTTGAATTGGAGGAGATATAGTAACATTTGAATAGGAGGAGATATAGTAACATTTGAATAGGAGGAGATATAGTAACATTTGAATAGGAGGAGATATAGTAGCGTTTGAATAGGAGGAGATATAGTATCATTTGAATTGGAGGAGGTAAAGTATCATTTGAATAGGAGGAAGATATAGTATCATTTGAATAGGAGGAGATATAGTAACATTTGAATAGGAGGAGATATAGTAACATTTGAATAGGAGGAGATATAGTAGCATTTGAATTGGAGGAGATAAAGTATCATTTGAATTGGAGGAGGTAAAGTATCATTTGAATAGGAGGAAGATATAGTATCATTTGAATAGGAGGAAGATATAGCATCATTTGAATAGGAGGAAGATATAGCATCATTTGAATTGGAGGAGGTAAAGTATCATTTGAATAGGAGGAAGATATAGTATCATTTGAATTGGAGGAGATATAGTAACATTTGAATAGGAGGAGATATAGTAGCATTTGAATTGGAGGAGATATAGTATCATTTGAATAGGATGAAGATATAGTATCATTTGAATAGGAGGAGATATAGTAACATTTGAATAGGAGGAGATATAGTAACATTTGAATAGGAGGAGATATAGTAACATTTGAATAGGAGGAGATATAGTAACATTTGAATAGGAGGAGATATAGTAGCATTTGAATTGGAGGAGATATAGTATCATTTGAATAGGAGGAAGATATAGTATCATTTGAATAGGAGGAGGTAAAGTATCATTTGAATAGGAGGAAGATATAGTATCATTTGAATTGGAGGAAGATATAGTATCATTTGAATTGGAGGAGGTAAAGTATCATTTGAATAGGAGGAAGATATAGTATCATTTGAATAGGAGGAAGATATAGTATCATTTGAATAGGAGGAGGTAAAGTATCATTTGAATAGGAGGAAGATATAGTATCATTTGAATAGGAGGAAGATATAGTATCATTTGAATAGGAGGAAGATATAGTATCATTTGAATTGGAGGAAGATATAGTATCATTTGAATTGGAGGAGGTAAAGTATCATTTGAATAGGAGCATCTCTCAGTGTTATTGTCAGTCTATCTCCCTTTCTCTCTCTCTGTCGCTATGTTTTGTTAAAAAATCCATGACATAATTTTGTTTCCCTCATTATCTAAATGTTGAGTGTTAAAAGTAAAGTATTCCTTATTTGCAGCAAAAACTTCATCAGTAGACGATTGACATGCGTAGTGGCTAGATCTAGTTTATGATTGGAATTATTTTTTTTAAACTTAACTATTGTTTCCCATTTTCACCGGATCATAGGCTTTTACATAAAGGCTAAGACATACACATAGAAATAGTGGTCTTTAGGCTAAAATTATTAAATATCTCTTTGTTCACTAAAACTTAACCTAAATAATAACAACTCCTGTTTAGGTTACCGAAAGGAAATTTCATGAGCATTGTCTAATTTATTGTCCATTGCAACTCTTATGAAAGGTTTCTTGAGATTTGACCTTAAGTAACCAATTTGGTTTTATAGTGACAGAGTATTGTGAGAATCTGAACATTAAGTCAGTAGATACTTTGAAAGCTGTTGTCACATTGTCTCGGGCTAATCATTTACTTGTCCATACTATCAATCAATCTCGGCTTATCATTTACTTGTCCATACTATCAATCAATCTCGACTTATACACACTTGTCCATACTATCAAACAATCTCGGGCTTATCATTCACTTGTCCTTACTATCAATCTCGGCTTATCATTCACTTGTCCATATTATCAAACAACCTTGGCTTATCATTCACTTGTCCATACTATCAAACAACATTGGTTTATCATTCACTTGTTTATAGTATCAAACAACCTTGGCCTATCATTCACTTGTTCATACTATCAAACAATCTCGGCTTATCATTCACTTTGTCCATATTATCAAACAACTTTGGCTTAACATTCACTTGTCCATACTATCAAACAACCGTGGCTTATCATTCACTTGTCTATACTATCAAACAATCTCATTGAAATCATGAAACGAATCAATCCAATTGGACTGAAACATCTCGTCGTTTTGTTCAGTAAGTTTTCACACACGCACGCGTGCACAAACACACGCACACACACACACTTAGACTGTTTGTAATGATGACATGTTGGTGCTGTTTGACAAACTAAACTGAGCTCGCGTTAACTTGATGTTTTGTACATCTATAATCACTTGCTGGCTGCTTCATACCAGTCTAGTAGATCGCAAAGGAAAATAATTTAAAATCTCAAGCATAATTTCTAAAGCACGACACTCTGATATAGTTCGCGAGACCAACCAAAAAGTCCCCTGTATTTCGACGCTTTATTAAACTCACTTTGCATCTTTCTTGGATGTTCCTTGTTTTTTTTTTTTTTTTTTTGCAAAGGCTTTTTTCGACATGGTCGTAAACTTTTAAATGCAAGCTCATGCTCGATGACAACACACGAATCACTCGCAAAATCAACAAATTATTTCATCAATTAGTCGTAATTAATTAGTTAATAATTAATTTTGTTGTTTTTTTAATTTAGAAAATGTACTAATCTAAGGGGAGATAAGCTTGTGTAGAGTATTAGGCGATACGAATTCAAAGATGACATTATGTCATTGTGAAGATTATATCAAAGACTGTTTATATATTAATCAATTATGAAGTAAACTTAGTAATGGATTTGGTCATTAACATTGTCTTAATTACCATTTTCATACATTTATAATTTTTCCTCAATATAATCGTTGCCTTAACTTTTTTTTTCCTTTTTACTTCAAGACATGTATCATTCCTGAACTACTCAATCTTTGTAGTGTCACTAAACCACTATCGAAGTTTCAAACATATGCATCTCCCGTGTCAATGCAATATTTGAAACCATCTCGATGAAGTGTTTAGGCTGCCCATTGTATATTCCCATCCTGTGTCAATAGTTCCATTATTTATTTAAACCTAAATCAGCCAGTTGTATTTGATCACCATCCCCTGCTTCACAGCTCAACACTGGGCGCTCAATCAGTAAGTCTTTATTTGGACCAGAATGTGATTTATTGTACCTTCTCCAGCAGATAACGTAGTTTGCTCTTAGATCTAGTCACTGAAAGGATTAGGGGAATACAGCCTGAGAGCTTCATGTTTACATACACACAAGAGTTCTCTCACAAAACTCTATGACTTGTGCTAGCAAAACACATTGTTTCATTGCTCATGGTACTGGATTACTTTATGAATAGAACATACAACTTAATCTACTAGACGAAGGCTGAATGACTGTGATCACAGATCACTCAATGTGACAAGCATGTCTGACGTCTTTGATGTTGATAGATTCAAACAGTTTCACTTTTATCTCGCAGCTACTTTTGAGTGAACTTTTCATTTCAAAGTAACACAGCACTACAATCTAGTGATTCATGAAATGAATAGTACTTCAAAGGATAATCATAAATCTATGTATAATAATAATAGTTACAAGTATTTTCATTCAGTATTTACGGTTAATTCAACTATCACTTAAACAGTGCCCAATTAATTTAGGAAAGATCCAACTGTATTGCGCATTGAGAAGCACACTTTCTAACTGGTTTGTCAGTGTAATACAGCCTCCTTAACAAAAGCGATCTATATTTACTGGATATGTTAGAACTAGCTGGTCAAGCTGTAGACTGCTTCTAGACAGTCTGGTGTTCTAAAACAACAAAAGACGCTCTAGCTCGAGGACACGTTCACCAAAGTGAAGTACATGTGACTTTGTTCTGGTGGAGCTTCGGTTCCAACAGGTACTTCATACTGCTGCCTGATCTAGATCTTCTAAACAAGGACATTTGATTTATGCTACATCTCTCTTTGATCCAATGTCTGAATGTTTAATGCTTTCAACAAATGCAACTAAGCAAACAGTGCGCCTTAGTTTTTCCAATAACGTTATTACATTCATCAGATCTCTTGCACACGATACTATTTTGGTGCACACGATACTATTTAGGTGCTAACCTTACACATAAAATGAGTGGGCTAAATTGTTTCATGATTGTGCGAAACAAAACATTTCCCCCTACACTCACAGACCAGGCCGCTATAAAGTAGATCAAAGAAGCTTAGGGAAGGGTCTATTTAGAGAACATTAAAAAGTCGCGAGATCACTAAAACAACGAAACAAATTTATGACCCAACAAAGAATCAACTGGGTTGGTCACCAAGTAATCTTGACAGTCAACCAGCCACGAGAGAATACACCAGAATATATAATATATATATATAAGAGGACCGCCAAGTAAAACCGTGCATTAAGAGTAATAGCATCACGAGAAGATAGACCTGATTGATACCTAGCAAAAAGTTTGAAACCCAGCAAAAAGTTTGATACCTAGCAGAAAGTTTGATACGTAGTAAAAAAAAAGTTTGATACCTAGCAGAAAGTTTGATACGTAGTAAAAAAAAGTTTGATACCTAGCAGAAAGTTTGATACGTAGTAAAAAAAAAAAAGTTTGATACCTAGCAGAAAGTTTGATACGTGGTAAAAAAAAAAAAAAAAAAGTTTGATACCTAGCAGAAAGTTTGATACGTAGTAAAAAAAAAAGTTTGATACCTAGCAGAAAGTTTGATACGTAGTAAAAAAAAAAAAGTTTGATACCTAGCAGAAAGTTTGATACGTAGTAAAACGACTAAAATAAACTAAGACTTGGCTGTAATAAATACGTATTTCAAAGTGACAGTAGACGCTGTAATCCATGTATCTCTAGTACAGTAGACGCTGTAATCCATGTATCTCTAGTACAGTAGACGCTGTAATCCATGTATCTCTAGTACAGTAGACGCTGTAATCCATGTATCTCTAGTACAGTAGACGCTGTAAT